AACAGTTTAAGTTTCACTTTCACTTTCACTCCTTTGTTACTGGTGAGAGCCTGCAGGAGTCATGGGCGGGGTGTGTGGGGTGGGGAGGTGTGCTCCGTGATGGGGAAGTTCGGCTTAAAGACACATCCCAGGGGTGTTTCTAGTCCCCACCTGTTGTTTTGCTCCTCAGCATGGCTTCCTAAAAACACTGCAGGATTTCTCAAACATGCATGAATGAGTCAGAGCAAGGCTGTGATGTTTTTTATGAGAGTATAACATTATAACATGATATAAAACTCAAAAAAGTTGATTTTACATGATATTGCCCCTTTAAATTATGAGAACTGAAAACAATAAGGATGGTACGTGTAGTCAGGTAGTAGCCACTGCAAGTTTGATGTCTTCTAGGGAAGCTTTAGCAGTGTTAGCAGCAGTGTTTGCTTTTGTCGTAGACTGAGGATGTCACAACAAAAACAATGCACCAAAACAACAACAACAACAAACAGGCTGTGTTCCATTCTGAAATAAGTGTAAACTTTAACATATAGACACAATATTTACATTTAACTTTTACATTTAGATATAGGACTTAACATTTAGACATAGCATTTAGTAAAAATAAGCTARATGTAAGAACAGTGAGCTAAATCAGAGGTTCTCAAACTGGGGTCCCAGGACCCCCAGGGGTCCTCAAGAGGTATCTTGGGGGTCCTCAAAAACTTTACTAAATTGTTAAATTGGATTTTATTTTTAAAAATGCATGGAGAACAATGAAGTAATAAAACAAACATTATAAACTAAATGAAATATGTATTTAGGGGTTGAAATGACAGTAAATTATCTTTTAAAACAGCATGGGGTTTATGAAGGGGTTCCTGGACTTTTTTTGCCCCTGTAAGGGGTCCCCAGTCCCAAATTGCTTGAGAACCCCTGAGCTAATTAACAATGAAATGTTCACAGAAATTATTTTAACCAGGATTTTATACTCAGAAAGTGAGCTAAATAATGAAAATGACATTTATTGACATTTTATTTTACACTTGTCACCCCATAAATATGTGGGTCACGTTGAAATTATTCAATTACACTGAAGGAAAATGGCATCTTAGCCCCAAATTAAAATTTCGAATTAGACCAATAAATAAATAAATGAAAAATGATGTTTCTAACATTCTCAAAAGTCCAAACTTGTGAGGTCTAACAACGAGAACAAACTAAAACTAGGAGATACGCCTGCTTTTATGGGAGCTGTTGCTGGAGATGAACTATCCCCGAGCAACAAAGAAACAATCAGCCCCCCCCTCCTTGTCTTCCCTCCAGACTGTGGTGCTGATGGGAGGAACTGTGCGTGTAGGCGCGTCTCTGCGTGCGTCCAGGACGCTGCAACGTGTGAGGGTGCGGCAACTTTCCTGCAAGGCAAGGACTCCTCTGCACATCCAGATCTGATGGCTGAAAGATGGAGGGCTGGCTAAACCTGTCCTTTCGGGGACGAACAGCTGCTCCCTTTAAATATTGTTGAAGTTGTTTAGAAGCAAATGCAGGCGTGAGTTTGTTAAATAAAGTCACAATTTAATTCAAAAGGAAATAAGAGAAGAACTGAAACAGATTTATGCAGGAGATAGTCTCTCACTGCTTAGCTGAATTATTTTTTGGCCTGTAGGCCTATTTAATTAGGCCTAATTCACATGTAGGTTGTATCTATAAGGATGTTAATATTAACTTTTTTCTTGGTTATTATGTTGATTTGACTTGTGGAGTGCTGAGAGAAGGTAACATGTGACACAAAGAACCCGGTCTCCATCAGCCCTCATTAAGACCCAACCACCACCATCAGCACCACCATCAGCACCACCATCAGCACCACCATCAGCACCACCATCAGCACTACCACTAGTTAATAAAGATAAAGAAGCAGAAGAAGACTTAAAGCCCTGCAGCCCTGTGATCTGATGCAGAGGTGTGGTGATTACATCCCCCAGGCAGAGCAGAGACAACCACACCTACAGCCGTGGAGCAAACAAAAGTGTCCATGCAGGCAGCAGGAGAGGACAGGACTGACCRGCTGCAGCGCTCCGGCCTCGGGGAGGCTGTCCATAAGCTAAACGTACCTCCTGGGTGGTCCCGCTGCAGCTGCTCCAATCCGCTCTCTGGTTCTGACCCAAGGTAAGACACAACCCGAGCACGGCCCTTCACTCAGCAGACAGACAACAGCTCAGGACCAGCACACACCGGCAGCATCCCCCACCGTAAAGTCACCGAGGACAGAGGAGGACACTTCTGGTTCAGATTTTCAAAATAAAAGCACACGCCAACTAGTTTTTTAGAGCAGGGTTTGCAATTTGAGGAGTGATGTTTGCTTTTATTCTCACAAGTTTTAAGGCCCAACACTTCTTGAAGAAATGCACATCACCAGGCACCTTTCATGACAGAGATTTAATTGAAGGTCACAGTCAAATCATGAGAAATGTTTTAATGCTTGGAGTATGAGTGAAAATGACTCTCAGAACTTGGAGCTCTGTAATTGAATAAATGTATAACCATTTTGGTGCCTGCTAAATTTAATTAGGTATAGCAGCCCGAGTTAAGTTGACTCCTAATGTCCATCAATGTACATGGTGTGCAATGGTACAGAGCCCATCTGGTGACTCTGGATTTAAAAAAAAAGATTAATGAATGGACATGATTACCTCATGGCCACGTGATAATTAATGCATTCATTTCAGAATGTTGGTTATTAACACAGACAAGTTTGAATTAATTTACTTTCATTTTATTATAGGAATGAATGACTTTAGTAGCTTGTGGTTGGGCATGAAGCAATTCTTAGCATTATATGTTGTATTTACTGTATATTCTCACAACATGCCTTTGCTGCAAAAGTAAAAAACTACTACTACTACTACTACTACTACTACTACTACTA